GCTGTAGTTGTTGATTATTTCTAATAGTTTTCCAATGGATTCTTTAGGATTTTCTATATATAAGATCATGTCATCTGCAAACAGCGAGAGTTTCACTTCTTCATTGCCTATTTGGATTCCTTTTATTCCTTTTTCTTGCCTAATTGCTCTGGCCAGAACCTCCAGTACTTTGTTGAATAAGAGTGGTGAGAGTGGACACCCTTGTCTTGTCCCTGTTTTCATCTTTCTTCACTTTTATTTATTTTTTAAAATTAATTAATTTATTTTTTCCCCCCACAGCCCCAGTAGATAGTTGTATGTCATAGCTGCACATCCTTCTAGTTGCTGTATGTGGGATGCGGCCTCAGCATGGCTGGAGAAGCGGCGCGTCGGTGTGCACCCGGGATCCGAACCCGGGCCACCAGCAGCGGAGCGAGCGCGCCTAACCGTTAAGCCACGGGGCGGCCCATTCACTTTTAATATAAGCATTTACAGCTACAGATTTCCCTCTGAGCAGTGCTTATTCTGCATCCCTAAATTTTGGTATGTTTTGTTTTCATTGTCACTCATCTCAAAATATTTTCCTTGTGATTTCTCCTTTGACCCATTGGTTTTTTAAGAGTGTGTTGTTTAATTCCCACATATTTGTGAAGTTCCTAAATTCCCTTCTGTTATCAATTTCTAATTTCATCCATTTTAGTTGGAGAATTTTATGACTTCAATCTTTTTAAATTTATTGAGACTTTTTTGTGGCCTAACATATGGTCTATCCTGGAGAATGTCACATGTGAACTTGAGAAGATTGCATATTTTGCTGTTGTTGTGTGGAGTGGTCCTCCTATGAATCTGCCATACTCTTTCTATGAACTGAAGCTGGAGCTGGGTTTTTGGGTTTTTTTTTGTTTTGTTTTTGGTGAGGAAGATTGTCCCTGAGCTAACATCTGTGCCAGTCTTCCTCCACTTTGTATGTGGGATGCCGCCACAGCATGGCTTGATGAGCAGTGTGTAAGTCCATGCCCAGGATCCAAACCTGCGAACCCGGGGCCACTGAAGCAGAGTGTGCAAACTTAACCACTACACCACTGAGCCGGCCCCTGGAGCTGCTTTTTTGAATGGAAAATGTGATCCAGACAATCCCCTGCTTAAAATTAACTCTTGAGATAAAGTCCCATCTCTGTAACATAGTTTATAAGGCCCTTCATGAACTTGATCCTGCCCACCTGTCCAGAATCACATCTCCTTTTTTCTTTTTAATTTTTTATTGTAGTAAAATGTAAATAGTACAACATAAAATAAAATTTAGCATTTTAACCATTTTTGGTGTATAATTCAGGAGCATGAAGTACATTTACCTTGTTGTGCAACCCCCTCTTTTCTTTTTGACACTCTGGGCTCCAGCCATCTGAACTATTTTTAGTGCTCATAGATTCATTCAACAAAAAGCTATTGAATGTCTAGTAGGTGCCAGGCACTGTTTAAGGCATTGGAGGTACATGGAACAAAACAGACAGAAATTCCTAGCCACGTGGAGCTTACATCTATTGCAGGAGACAAAAAACCAAAGCAAATAAGTACAATATACAGTATGTTAGACCGTGAATCATACTAACAAGAAAAACAAAGTAGGGAAGGGAGATAGGAAGTGTGTGTGTGTGTGTGTGTGTGTGTTTTGAAATTTTAGAAAGAATAATCAGGGAAGGTCTGACAGGAGACATTTGAATAAAGACCAGAAGGAAATAAGGAGGGAAGTCATTTGTCTATTTGGGGAAAGAGCATTCTCGACAGAGAGAAGAGCGAGTGCAAAGTTCCTGAAGCTGGATCATGCCTGACAAGTTGAATGCATATTGAGGAGATCAGTATGGCTAGTAGAGAGTCAGATCACATAGGACCATTACGAAGCTTTTCATCATTCTCAACTGAAAATATGGTCCAGAAAATTTCCTGCTTGAATTAAAAAAACCATTTCATCTGAGTGCAATAGGAAGCCATTGAAAGGTTTTGAGCAGGGAAGTGACATGATAGGATGTACATTTTTTTGTGTGTGTGAGGAAGATCAGCCCTGAGCTAACATCCATGCCAATCCTTCTTTTTTTTTTTGCTGAGGAAGACTGGCCCTGAGCTAACATCCGTGCCCATCTTCCTTTTTTTTTTTCTTTTTTCCCCAAAGCACCAGTAGACAGTTGCACGTCATAGTTGCACACCCTTCTAGTTGCTGCATGTGGGACACTGCCACAGCAGGGCCTGACAAGTGGTGTGTCGGTGCGTGCCTGGTATCCAAACCCAGGCCGCCAGCAGAGGAGCGCATGCACTTAACCACTACGCCACGGGGCCGGCCCCAGGATGTACATTTTAAAGGATCACTTTGGGGGCTGGCCCCCTGGCGTAGTGGTTAAGTGCCCGTGCTCCCCTACTGGCGGCCCGGGGTTCAGATGCCGAGCGCGCACCGAGGCACTACTTGTCCGGCCATGCTGAGGCCGCGTCCCACATACAGAAGGATGCACTAGAAGGATGTGCAACTATGACATACAACTATCTACTGGGGCTTTGGGGAGAAAAAAGGGGAAAAAAAGGAGGAGGATTGGCAATAGATGTTAGCTCAGGGCCCGTCTTCCTCAGCAAAAAGAGGAGGATTGGCATGGATGTTAGCTCAGGGCTGATGAGGATTGGCATGGATGTTAGCTCAGGGCTGATCTTCCTCACACACACACACACACAAGAACCACTAAAAAAAAAAAAGAGGCTATTGCAACAATCCAGGTGATAGATAAAGTTGGCTTGACAAGGGTGGTAGCCGTGGAGATAGTGGGAAATGGTCAGATTCTGACAGATTGGATGTGAGTAGGATGAAAGAGAAACAGAAGGGTCTGGATGACTGCAAAGTTTTTGTCTTAAGGACCTGGAAGAATGGAATTGTCATTTACTGGGCTAGCAAAGACTATGAAGGGAGTATTTTGGGAGGAGAGGGTATTAGAAGCTGTTTGGGACATGTTAAGTTTGCTATGCCTAGTTGAAATCCAAGTGGAGATGTCAAATAAGGAAGTTTTTATATAGGATTCTGGAGTCCAGGAGAAAGTGGGTTGGAGTTATAATCTGGGAGTTAATGAAATGGCCAGGCTCTTGCATGTTCACTATTATTGTGGGAGTGGCCAAGGAGTCATTTAATAAACATACATTATTGAGCTGAGCGTCTGCTTGGTGTGAGGCATGGTGCACAGGTTTTAGGGATGGATAGTTGACAGGAGAGGGTGCCATTTATTCAGAGAGACAGGGAGCACAAGAAGAAGTGCAGTTCTGGGAAGAGGTGAGTGCATCCGTGTTGGACGTGTTGCATTTGCGGTGTCTGTGGAGGTGTCCCGGAAAGAATTGGCTTTATGGGGGCTGGAGCCCAGGGGACGGGTCTGGGCTGGTGACTTGGCATGTAGTTGGCAACTGAAGCCATAGGAACGGTCGAAATAGGCCAGGGGGAGCATGAGTCTCTCTGCTGCCGGGAACAGGGATGACACATCTTCCCACATTCATTTTTTTCTGTTTCCCTTAAGCGTCTGCCGTCATCACACAAAACGCCCTAAATAGACGGCTACCAAAAATTACTTTTTATTCCCCACAGCTCCTCCCTTATTTCCAATACTGCAGATAGAGGGAGGAGCTCAAAAACCACCCCCGCCGGGGGCGGGCTTTCTGGGGCGACGACGTCACAACAGGGGCGCGTTATCAGGCGGTCCCGCCCCCTGGCGCTGGAAGCCCGTGCTGAGGGCTCCGCCCCGAGCTGCGCTGACCCCGCCCCAGGGCGCTCCTTTCCTCGCCAGTCCCGGCAGCGGGTGCCCTCAGGCCAGCTGGAGCAGGCCGCGTTCGGCCAACAAGGCCTGGGTGCGGTTGCAGACATCCTCCAGGGTGCCTGCGGCCCGGGCCAGCGCGGCCCGGGCCTCCGCCTCTCTGGTTCCCGGACATGCCAACTCCAGCAAGCGGCCGCGACCCGGGAAGGCGAGGAATGCGAGGCGGGCGGCCTGGCGGATGAGCCAGGGGTGGTGCGGCGCCAGGGCCATGTCGTAGGCGTCGCTGCACTGAACGCCGGCGTCCGGGCCTCCGAGCGTCCCGGTCGCCACCCGGTGGAGGCAGAGCTGGGACCAGTGTAGCGCACGGTGCAGCAAGAGCATCGTTCGTGAGCCCGAGGACTTGGCCGGGTGTCTGGGGGCGATCCCAGGCCGCTCCAAAAGTCCCGCCCGCCGCTCCCACGCCAGCATGGCCGCCAGCGACGTGTAGTGCGCGGCATCTGGGCCATGCACCCGAGCCTCCAGGGCTGTCACTTTAATGAAGGCCTCGCTTGTGGCGAAGGCGAAGATGGAGCCGAGCGGAGTTAGGAACCTGTGTGTTTGGTGGTGGGAAGAGTGAGATGGTTTGAGAGAGGGCGATGGAGCCACAAGGGGGCGGGGACTGGACTGGGGGAGGGAGACCACTCACCTGACTAGTTCCCTCCATCCTGCCACGTACTGCGACAACTCCACATCCCCTTCGGGGTTCACACTGGCGCGGAACAGCCTCATCATGCGGCCCAGCATCCCCTGGGGGCCCAGACACTGAGGCTCTTCCCGCTCCGGGGTCTCCAGGGGTCCCGAGTGTTGCCGAACCTGGAGAGGGAGCTATGAGGGGAAGGGGGCGGGAGCAGAACCCCTAGCCTGCTGGGCCTCCTTGCTGGGCAGTCCGATTGGGCTCTGAAGAAACTATTCCCAAGGTCTAGCTGATGTCTCTCCTGCTGTACTCTCAGCTTCTGACAGGAGAGGGGAGACGAGGAGGAGGACCTGCCCTTCACCAGATCCCCAGCCTGGCTCCACTTTCCTCTGTTCAGACTCCCACCTGGAGCTCCAAGTCCCAGACCTGCTTGACCATACCTGGAAAGGCGGCGGTCCCTCGGGAATGCAGGACTGCGCTCCGGATCGGCAGCCTGAGAGGGCGCCTGGGGAGAGGCGAGGCGGAGCGGGGAGGGCGTCAGGAGGGGACTTAGGTCCCAAGGGCCTGGATTCCTGGGTTCCTGCCCGAGTAGGTGAGGGAAGGGTCTACTTACGGAGCCTCTGAGCACTGAGATAAAGCAGCAGCAGCGTGAAGATAGTGAGAAGAATTGCACGGTGGAACCAGCGCCACGGGACCTGCGGAGGCAGCACGACCCTCATGGCTGCTGCTGGGACCACTGCCCGTAGCCAGTCCTTTTCTCTCCGCCTCCAGGAGGGGAGAGAAGCCCGCGGTGCCCTGGGGTGCTAAGAGTTAATAATTAACCTACTAAGGCCCCTTCCCCTGTGCCCTTTGCCCCTGAGGGCAGCATCCCAGGGGTGAGGGACTGGATGAATGGGATTTGGGGGATTTGAGCGATGACACGTCTCTGCATTTCCCTTTCCTGTAGGGCCAAGTTGTAGTAAGAGGCAGCCTGGGTATTAGGAAGAGAGGCTGGGGTCAGAACCAACTCCCCCACTGATCAATGGTGTGGGCCCTAAGTTAACTCTGGGCTTGAGTTCCCTCCACTGTAAATTGAGGATAATAATGGGTACTTTGCAAGCCTCATGTGAGGATTAGATGATAATGTGTGTGCAAACACTTCAAATGGAAAAGCTTACCACAATTGCACCATAAATCTTACCTATTAAGTTCAAGCACAGGCCACCTGGGATGCAGGGAACACCCACTTCTAAATTCTCTATCCTATCCCCAGGGGGCCTTGTCTTGATCTGGATGCATGATCTCTCGATTATGTACTTTAGGCTTTATCCTTTTACATTTCTGTGGTTTAATTTTTGAAACTGCAAATTAGTTCCTCAATCATTCATCAAACCAGCCTTTATTAACTACTTCCGTGTCCCAGGCCCTGACCTAGGCCACAGGAAGACAAAAGTGCCTTCACAGAGCTCAAGGTCCATTGGAAAAGTTTATTTATCATCTGTTTCCCCCATTGGAATGTGAGCTCTGATGAAGACAGTGTCCTTGTTTTTCTTGGTTGCTGCTCTATTTACACACTTAGAATATTGCCTGGGCCAAAATACATTATTGCTAAATAAATATTTATTGAATGAACAAAGGAATATGTATGAGGGGCAGGCAAATCAGGGGTGGTGTTCCCCATGACAAATTTGAGCCACTTTTTTGGTTTGTTTTTGCAAATTAGGAGTCCACCTGGTGGTCATGGGGGGGAAAACATTCAGGGAAAGGATACAAGCAATGGGAGCAACGGAAGAAACAGCATCTCCTGTTCTCATTCCCCTGTCCATAAACTTCTTAGAATTGTTCCTGTCTCTGTGTATGTTTTCTTCTGGGGGGGAAGGGGTATCCCAGATTCTCAAGGCGTCAGGGTCCCAATCGCTAAGAAAATCCTTCCAAACTGCCACAGTTCGTAGATTCTTGCCCTCTTTTTTTTTTTTATAATTTTATTTATTTATTTATTTATTTTTCCCCCAAAGCCCCAGTAGATAGTTGTATGTCATAGTTGCACATCCTTCTAGTTGCTGTATGTGGGACATGGCCTCAGCATGGCGGGAGAAGCGGTGCGTTGGTGCGCGCCCGGGATCCGAACCCCGGGCCGCCAGCAGCGGAGTGTGCGCACTTAACCGCTAAACTAGGGGGCCGGCCCCTTGCCCTATCTGTCTCTGATACTCCCTCACATCCTGGAGGTCCCTGGGGTTGCTCCTGACCAATCCTGTCCAGTGGGATTCTGGAGCCATCACTCCCATCCCTAGCTTTGGGCTCCCCATTTCCCAGTGTTGGAATGTTTCCTGGCTTGCTGTGACCTTAGGCAAGTCGCTTGCCATTTCTAAACCCCAGTTCCCTCATCTGCAGAATAAGCAGGGTAATTCCCACTTCCAATGCCTGCACAAAGCTAACCACAATTCGTGGCCTATAAGTAAAGGTTCAGTAGGTGGTGGTTACTTCAACTTGTTGGCTCTCACTGCCCCCACTCCTCTGGCTCTGGGAGCCTCTGTCACTCTGAGCAGACAATCAAGTCTGCAGGGCTCCAGAGGTGGATTAGTTTCGAGTGTCACTTAATCCAGGTGGCCCTTCTGTAATCAGAGCCCCTCGTAGGGGCAGAGGTGGTATAAACCTTCGAAATCGGCCCAGGCTCACAGAGGCTGCGGGATGGAGCCGGTGGCAGGAGCCAACCTGCTGCTGCTGCTGTGGGCCACGTGCTGCGGATATGCACGAACAGATGGGATGAGACGCTACACGTCGGTCATCAAGGTGACCAACGGAGGCCCTTGGGGTGACTGGGCCCAGTCCGAGATGTGTCCTGTCGGATTCTTCGCCAGCGGGTTCTCGCTCAAGGTGGGGGCTCAGGCCTGGGTCTCGGAGGGGACGGAGATGCGCGGGACCCCAGAGCAGAGGATGGCAGTCTTCTGACTCGTCCTTACTCCGCCTCTCCTCGCCGCCCAGGTGGAGCCCCCACAAGACTTGTTTGGCGACAACACGGCTCTGAACGGGATCCGGCTGCATTGCAAGCGAGGAAATTCCAAGGGCAACACGCACGTGGTGGAGTCCGAGTCTGGAAGGTGGGGGTCGGGGGCGAAAAATCCCCTAGAGTGGGGTTATGCCCCTCACTCCCTGTTGCACACACACCCTCCTTGCAGGCAGGTTCCTTCACAGCTGTGGGGCAGTTTAGATCTGGAGAATGGGTGGAAGACCTCCCCTCTGCACCTGAGTGGAGGTCAGGTGACTAGACCTAAACCACCCTGGTCGTGTGGCACCTAGCTGGGAAGTGCCAAGGGCTGGGTCGGGCTGGAGGTGGGTAGGGCGCGCCCGCAGAGCCAGCGCGTCTCCCCTTCCCTCGCAGGTGGGGCGCGTGGAGTAAGCCGCTGTGGTGTCCCGGCGGCGGCTTCCTTGTGGCTTTTTCGCTTCGCGTGGAGGCACCCCAGGACCTTGGGGACGACACAGCTGCGAACAACGTGCGCTTCCGCTGCTCCAAAGGCGCGGTGCTGGCGGGGCGTGGCCTGGCCTGGGGAGACTATGGAGCCTGGAGCAACGCATGCCCTAAAGGCGTGTGCGGCTTGCAGACCAAGATCGAACCGCCTAGAAACATCCTCGATGACACCGCGCTTAACGACGTGCGCTTTTTCTGCTGCCAAAGTTGACAGTGTAGCCACCCTCTGCTTGGCCCCCAGCCTAGTCCCACCTCCCGCTAGTAAAGCTTCTCTGCCTTGGCTTTGGTTTCTCTTAAGGTGGAGGTGGGGGTAGTGGAGGGCGGGGGGGACTGCGTCTCCTTGTCTTCCTCCTAACCTCGCATGGGGCCAGGCCCAAGCTTGAGTTTGGCCTCAGGAGTCCTTGACAGGCTACTGAAAGTTACAGACCCATAGTCCAGAAAAACTCAAACACAATTTTGCCTACAAGTTAAGGAAGTCCCTGACTCTCTGAGGGCATCCGGCAGACACACTGCCCCCATTGAGCCCACGTTGTTTCCTTTCCGAACCACCAGTGACCTCAGATTAAGAGACTTCTAACAAATTAGGAGGTGACAATGTTATAACGCCTTAAGACTTCATTCTCTAGAGTTTAAGAGGCTAATGTGTCTTTTCCATAGTCTGCGCCCTCTTTATTTTTCCCCTACAAAACTCAGTGGCTTTTCTACATACTGATTCCGTTTGGGATCTTTGTCCTTGCTGTTCTCTTTGCCTGGAATCCCCAGCTATCCAGATGGTTGGCCCATCCATCAGATTTCGGCGCCAATTTCACTTTCTCTTATTTTAAAAAGTCCTGCCATCAGTCAATATCCATCCCCACTACAAACTTGTTTTTAAAAAGTGCTTATCACCAACTGAAAGAATCTATTGCCTCCTTTTAAAATTGCCCATCTTCCACTCCTGGAATGTTGAGAGCACAGAACTTGCCTATCTTGTTTACCGCTGTATTTCTAGCGCACACTAAGAGCTCACTATTTGTTAAGAAAATAAGCGGGGTGCAGGGGCCCCAAACACGAGAGCTCCAAGTCCCGGTGTACAGAGGCATCAGACACTCCTCGCAGAGGACACAATCTGAGACGCGCAAGAGAGCTCAAAACAGTT